TAAGATATAATAACAATTTGATATACTATTTTACTTTATGAAATATGTGTGTAAAATGGCCATTAATTGGTATTCCCATTCTACACAATGTACAAATACATTATATCAAATTTGCATATTGATGTGTTCTTGGGGTAACAAAAAGGTGTAAAGGGTAATAATGGGAGTATAATAACTTGGCAAAATGTTCATATATTGATTATATAACATGCTGTATGGCCTGGTGTCCACTACCGAACACATGTATGAAAACTATGCCCTGTTTCATAACAAAAAGCCATATTCTGATTTGAAACCCCATAAGATTTTCCTGAGGTGTTTATTTACAACAAACAATTTGAAAATGAATCAGATTTAAATAATAATTACAAAATATCATATTTCCATATGAGAGCTGAATTTAATGGAGGATGGGGTAGTTTGATCTCAATGTTTGTTCCTGCTTTGGTTACATTGTGCCTCTTGTGTCTTTTTGGACCATGTATTGCCTCCTGCATACAACAGCAGATAAACAAAATATGAAGGTCAAGCTGAGGTCTCTGCATGGTTACAAAAAAACTTTACATGGAATTTTGAAACATTTTTAACATTCTGTTCATTACATCCCAATAAGAGTGTTGATTTGTCCAATCACTTAACTGTTGTAAGACAACAGGCAGAGGCACATTCCTCTAACTAATGATGGTACCCGGTATGACAGATAACCAGTTTATTTTGTGTTTTTTTTAAAGATTATGCACAGACCGGCCAACCCAGTGTTTTTTAGAGTTTGACACTTTTTATACATAGTAGTTTTACTGCACTAGCAGTAAAGTACACTGATAACAATTTCACAAAATTTTCACTCAGAAATTGCTAGTAAACTTCACAATGATTTACAAAGAAACGGCAAGTAACACATTGAATTAAGTGTAAAATTTTGAAGTAGAAAGACTCGAATAGTATTTTATTTTCTTATAAAACATCCTATGTTTTTGTGGCATGCAGTTCCCATGAAAAGCTATTTTTTTCATCGTACAAAATGTTTTTTTATTATTGTGCTGTTAAAAAATAGTGTAGAAACAATTGTCACTCAGAAATTGCTAGTAAATTTCACAAATAATTACAAGTGACACATTGAATTAAGCATGAATAGAAATTTAGAAAGTAGAAAGACTAAAATAGCATTTTCTTGTCAAATGTAGGCTACTTCAATAATCAGTTTTATTTACAGCTTCGAAAAATAATTTTCATAACTGCAACTTCTCACGAAAAGGTCTACTGTTTTTTTTTCATTAAGGCTTTGTATATATTCCTTCTTGTAAACTTTTATCTGATGTATATATAATGTCCAATTGCATAGTTGTAAATCTTTTAGAACACTATAAATAAAAATGGACTTGGTTGCTCTTTGTGGTACCTTTTTTTCATGAAGTCATCTGTGTGCACAACGCCCTGTAAATTGTGTTGTGTGGTTTTCCTACATAGTTTTACTGTTAAATATTGAACAGCCTTACATGTTCAAAATTCAACAACAACTGAAGTAATTGTGTATTTCTACAGCTTGCTAATCTGGTTCAACAACACGCTCTTAAAGAATGTGCAATGTAGTGTGTGGGTAGGGGTTGGTGGTGGTTAGGGTGGAGCACTTGCATCTCTTTAAATCATAGCGTGCCCTCCATTGCGGCCCCTTTGCTTGATGCCAGCACGCTAGTGATCACATCTCCAGCCTCTCAATTATAAATCAGTTAAGCAATTAGTCGATAAAATGTCTGCTGAGTTTGAACTTTGTCCTGGAAGAAAAATCGGGGGCTCCAACCCCTGTTTTATCATCGCTGAGATTGGACAGAACCATCAAGGAGACATAGAAATCGCCAAAAAAATGATCCGAATGGCTAAGGTAAAGTACTGCTGTATTTTATCAAATTGTCCTGTATTTCTAATTTTTTATTTCATGCTCCATTGTTATATAAATATATTTAAATATTGTGTTTTTTCCTATACATTTTCTTAAACATGATCTGAGCCCGTAAGAGTCACACATCACATCGAATTAACTTTTAGATTTTAGAAGCTCCACTGTTTCTTCTACACACTTAAAAAATAAAGGTACCATGAAGTGCCATTTTTGGTTCCCCAAAGAACCTTTCAGTGAACAGTTCTTAAAAGAACCATTTTTTTCTTACGGTGAAGAACATTTTTAAAATCTAAAGAAAGGTTTTGTTTTTTTTTTACTTTAAAGAACCTTTTGTTGAATTGAAAAATTCCATGAATGTTAAAGGTTCTTCATGGAATCATCAATTCCAGTGAAGAACCTTTATTTTTAAGTGTATGGTGAATAGGGTGACCGTTTTCTTTTTCTGTACACCCTGAAATTTGTTTTTCATGACTACTGTCAACCAAAATCCAGCTCTACTTCCTCTTTTGTCTCCACGCAGGACTGTGGAGCTGATTGTGCCAAGTTTCAAAAGAGTGAGATTGAACACAGATTCACCAAACACGCTCTGGAGCGTCCCTACACGTCCCCTCACGCCTGGGGGCCGACCTACGGGGCTCATAAGCATCATCTGGAGTTCAGTCACCAGCAGTACAGAGAACTGCAGCAGTACGCCAATGACATTGGCATCTTCTTTACAGCATCAGGGATGGATGAGGTGAACAAATGCAAAACGTTTATGATTTATAGCAAGAAAATATGCAAATGTCCCTCCAAAACGAAGTAGACTCAAATGCACCTCTTAACTTTTCCTCTCCCTACCTCTGTCAGATGGCTGTAGAATTTCTTCATGAAATCAATGTGCCGTTTTTCAAAGTTGCCTCAGCAGACACCAACAACATCCCTTACCTGGATAAAACCGCCAAAAAAGGTAAAACAGCCATTTGAAATTAAAAATCAGTAGATGTTTTCAGAAGTTGTTGTTCCTCAGACTAATTAAATGGCACCCCAGCTCACGGTAACAAAAGGCTATCCAAAGTGTGAGAATGAGAAAAGTACAAGCAGAACTGAGAACTGAATATATCAATAGCTTCCCATGTGCATTTGAAGTCAGTTATTCTGGAGTACCTGCAAAATGTGATAGTGCTGATTGGCCAGGGAGCTAAGAAAATGAAACCTACAAATCCTGGTGCGGATTTTCTGGATTTTCATTCTTGAAGTTAGTTTCTGCAGGTGATTGCATATATAAAGTCTGCAGAGAAATCAAAACCAACTAAAACATTGACTTTACTTTCTCCCAGAAGCAGGCATGTCTTGAAGCTAACATTTTTGGTTTGTTTTGTAGGTTGTCCCATGGTGATATCTAGTGGAATGCAGTCGATGGAAACCATGCACTGTGTTTACCAAACCGTTAAGAAGCACAATCCCAATTTCACTTTCTTGCAGTGCACCAGTGCTTATCCACTGCCGATAGAGCACGTCAACCTCAGTCTGATCCCTGTAAGACAAACCACTTTAATCTTGTAAACTACGCAAATTACTGATGAAAATGTTACATAACGAAGATTTTTTGGATGACAAGAAAAATGTGCATGAAGACGATTAATTACATTTTTCATTTTGCTAAATTTTGACATGCTAATTTAATATATAAAATGCTTGAATATTTATTTTGCAAAAATTAGTCATTGGTTTATTTTAAGACATCGGGTTTTTTACCAACATGTTGTTTTTGCCAAATTTTTAAAAACTTAATAAAAACTATATACATATAAAAACAAACAAAATGACTAAACCCTTAACTAAAACTAAAATGAAAACAGAAAATATAATAAAATATAATAAAACTTCAAAAATTAAATGACACTAAAATAACACTGGTATTTTGATATGCTAAATTAATGTTTACAATGTTTGAATATTTGGTTTCATTTTGCAAAAATTAATTGTTAATTGTTATATTGCTCATGCAGGGTTATTATCATTAACTAAAACGAAACCTAAAACCACAAACATTAAATAAAATAAACTGAAATAAAATAAAAATGTGAATACTTCAAGTATTACGAAATTTGAATAACTAATATTAAAACTGAATAAAAACTATATAGATGTTTTTTTGTTTGTTTTTAAACTAATACAAATTACAAAATTACAAAAATACTAAAACTTTAACTCAAAGTAAAAATGAAAACCAAATGTAAATATTTAAATATTATTGTTTTTTTAAATTGGTATGCCAAACATATATCAAATATTTGGTTGATTTTGCAATTCTCATTTAAAATGTTATTTTGATATACTAAAGTTAGATGTAATTTTAGTCAGTAATATTAACAAACATGAGATATTGACTAAATTTAAAGGATATTTTCATCAAAAACTATGACTGAAAGCACCCACTGATCTTGAGTCCTTACATAGCAAGAATTATACGTAGTTAATGAGTAGTTTGGAATCTTTCCATTTCCCATTTCCTATTGCAGGAGTTCCAGAAGGAGTTTCCGGACATTCCCATAGGATACTCTGGACATGAGACGGGCATCCATGTGTCTGTGGCTGCTGTGGCACTCGGGGCGAAGGTCCTGGAGCGTCATGTGACCCTGGATAAGACCTGGAAAGGCAGTGACCACGCAGCATCACTGGAGCCGGCTGAGCTGGCAGAGCTGGTGAGAGCCATCAGGACGGCTGAGATGGCAATGGGCTCGCCAATCAAACAGATGCTGCCCTGTGAGGCTTCCTGTCACAGCAAGGTCGGATACAACCCTCATTTTGACAGATATAGCAATAGGAGGCTTTTGAAGTGATCAAATGTGTTTAAATCACTGTTTATGTCCTTTCTTACAGTTGGGTAAGTCGGTAGTGGCCCGGAAACCATTGCAGAAGGGCGAGATATTAACTCTCGACATGCTGACAGTAAAAGTGGCCGAACCGCATGGTGTGAGACCAGAGAACATCTTCAAACTGGTTGGCAAGAAAATCAAGGTGGACCTGGAAAAAGATGCCACCATCACTGATGCCATGATAAATGGCTGATGATTGTACATTCCATAACTAAAGGGGAAATTAAGGGGTCTTATCATGCTTATCATCTTATCATGCTGTTGTTAATTATCAGTAACAGTATATAATAAAATATATAAAAAAAAACAGCCATTATTAAATCACTCTTCAATGTTTCAATGAGGGAGTGATTTTTTATCATATTCTTATTGCTTGATATCAGAAATATGTAAAGAAGACGTCTTGTCTTGAGTTTGCATCCCAGATAGCACGTACGTCTGCAAGATGTCTGGTAAAGATCACTTCATCTGGAAAGCATCTGCGGTGTACAAACATTTGATAGACGTCTTTAAGATGTCAGTTTTACAATTATTCTAAATCATAAACATCTTCAAGACATCTTCTAAACATCTATTTGACATCTGATAGGAAACGTCCTATAGACGTATTGCAGATGAGCAAACACTCTAAAAATATGTCTTGCAGATGTAAATGCAGACGTCAAATAGAGGTCTCCGTGATGTACGTGTGCTATCAGGGTATTTTCATATGATGCCACAGACTTGTGCGCTCATATACTGATATAGGCACCATATTGTGTCTCAGTTATCACCTGCAGAGAAAACAAATATGGGAGAAACTGACCTTTTCTAATTTTTCGAGTCAATTGGAGCAACTGCTTAATAACTGCTCTGGGCGTGTGTTCACGGTGTGTGTGTGTTCACTGCTGTGTGTGTGCACTTTGGATGGGATAAATGCAGAGCACTAATTCCGAGTATGGGTCACCATACTTGGCCACATGTCACGTCACTTTCACTTTCATTTTTCAATAAAATTAATTCACTTCGCACTTGAAACACTACAGTGGTGACACCTGCTGGTCAAAACTGTTTAAATACAATGAGAACACGCAAACCAAACATGTATAACGCCTTACACAAGCCAAATGTTTTAGTGTATTCTATCATTAAATATAATCTACAAATACAAGAAATCTACAAGAAATCAAAGGTAGGGGAGACTGGTGATGGTTGCAACACGTTTTTGCATTTCTTTCAGGTTCTCAGATACTGATTGTACTGAAAAGCCACAATATAAGCCACATCTGTCAGCTACCCAACCTGCTGTAACGTGTACATATGATAATATACGTACAATTTATACTTGAATAGACAAGTTCAAATGTTGCAACTAACCCCATAATAGGGGATGGTTGCAACTGACAGTAGTGATAAAAACTAATTCCGAGTATGGCTCACCATACTTGGCCACATGTCACGTCACTTTCACTTTCATTTTTCAATAAAATTCATTCACTTCGCACTTGAAACACTACAGTGGTGACACCTGCTGGTCAAAACTGTTTAAATACAATAAGAACACGCAAACCAAACATGTATAACGCCTTACACAAGCCAAATGTTTTAGTGTATTCTATCATTAAATATAATCTACAAATACAAGAAATCTACAAGAAATCAAAGGTAGGGGAGACTGGTGATGGTTGCAACACGTTTTTGCATTTCTTTCAGGTTCTCAGATACTGATTGTACTGAAAAGCCACAATATAAGCCACATCTGTCAGCTACCCAACCTGCTGTAACGTGTACATATGATAATATACGTACAATTTATACTTGAATAGACAAGTTCAAATGTTGCAACTAACCCCATAATAGGGGATGGTTGCAACTGACAGTAGTGATAAAAACTTGCTCTACTAGCTTGACACAATACCTTTGACATACTATAGAAATAAAGGTACAAAAGCTGTCGCTGGGTCCCTGCGGCACCTTTTCAAAAGGTACATGTTTTGGTACCTTTTTACATTTGGTACATGTAAAGGTACATATTAGTATTCAAAGTGTACATATTAGAACCTAATAGGAACAAAAGTGTACCTTTTGAAAAGGTACCACCCCAGTGACTGCTTTTGTACCTTTATTTCTGAGTGTGTAGCTATGCCTGTTTTTAGAGTGTTTGCTCATCTGCAATACATCTACAGGACGTTTCCTATCAGATGTCAAATAGTCATTTAGAAAGGTACTGTTAAAACATTTACTGTAATAAAATATCAGCAATTGAAAAACTCCTCAAATTGCAACAAATGAACACTTCCTCAGCTAATTTGCACATACACTGAGATCATGTCAAGAAATCAGTAGCCTATAAATGCACTACAAAGACTTCTGCACTATATTCCATCTTTCAGAAGGATAACAGATAGATACTTGACTAGATAACAGCCAACAAACCCCCCTCCCCCAACCCACACACACACAAAACCAATAATACACAAATCCAGAAACATTGTATCTTCATTGCGAGTGAAGAGACTGGTGTCTTGCACCCGTAGCTTGCAATGCAGTGTGTCAGAGCGGTCTGGTGTGGATTCACTCCTGACATCCAGAAAGTCTGAATCTCCCTCACCACAGATATTAAATCTGTAGCCCTAAGGAGATTCACATCTTTCTTTACTTCTTAAAAGCCACTGGTTCTCTTGTCTTGGCAGCTAATAAATTGCTTTTCATGGGACTGGGGGCACAAAAATTAAATGTTTGGTGGACAGTTTGCTCTAAATAAATTGCTCGCTGCTATCTGATCATGAACCGTCGTGAAGAGCTGATTGGTTTCTCAACAGAAGTATTTGGAGAGGGAGAGAGAATGGACAGCAAACACTTGTTTTAATAGATTCGGAAGGATTAAAAAAGCTGATGTTACCTGAAGTTTTCATCAGAGAAGAGGGTGAAGGCCACGGCCTCTGATACTCTACCAATCCAACAGATTGTCTTTCCCGTCTGCAACAGCACAGAGCTCAAACCCTTCCTGTAATTTAAGAGAGCAGATCAAACACATCAGCTCTCATCTGTCTTTGAACCGCCTCCTTTATTTAGTGAAAAGCTCAAACTTGTAGAATTAAAACCTTCCGGGTTCTGAGATTATGATATGAGGGGGAAAATAATATTTTCCTACAACCTGTTATTAGATTTATATGATGAACAAAAATTGTGCAAAAATCTATGATGATGAGATTCATCATTAAACATTTGTATTATTATCTGGGCATGCATCTGTTAGGGGAATTTGTAGATGTTTTGAACATGCCAGCCAAAAATTCAATTTCATGTAAAAGAAAATAATCATGTTACACTGCTGCTCTCGTGTGGTGAGTGAGTTCAATATACTGTAAATGATGATGTCTAACAAACACTCCTTCTTTTGTTTAATAGATAGATACAGTCACTGGGACAGTGCCCTTTCAAAAGGGACACATTTATACCTTATTTACCCCTAAAGGGTGCATTTTAGTAGCTTTTTAGCAGTATTTGTACTAAAAGTGTTGATATTCATACCTAAATGGTACATATTAGTACCTTTTGAAAGGATACAGCCCGAGTGACAGCTTTTCTTTTTTTCTTAGAGGATAGATAGATAGATAGATAGATAGATAGATAGATAGATAATGAATATAATTTGGATCAATATTTCATGTGTCATGTCCAGTGTTGGAGGTAACGCATTACAAGTAATGTTAGGTAATCAGATTACTTTTTTCAAGTAACTAGTAAAGTAACGCATTACCTTTTAATTTACAGGAGAATATCTGAGTTACTTTTTCAAATAAGAAATCAAGTTACTTTTTTTTTTTTTTCCAATTTATTGATTGACAGCTCTCCTGTCCCCACGTTGAGAGAAATAAGATGTTACTGTAGTTCTAAAATATATATGAATATGCATTAATTCATCTCACTCACAAAAAAAAACAAAAAACACACAGATTCAATATTCCTCAAAATGAATAAAAATAATGCAACTCAGAATATGACGCAAACCTGCAATAATTAAATGTTAAACAACACAAATATCCTTTATGTGTTTAATCCCATTCTATTAACCAATGTCTTTGCTTCTGACCTTCGATGATTCAGTTCAACCGTACTAATAAGCACAAATTACTCTAGACGAACGTTTGTGTGTCTTTTTTTATTGCTGAAGTGTGTTGAAATGTCTTCTTCTGCATTCTACTGTACGGAGTCCGGACGTAAATTTACTTTCCCTTCAGTCTGAGGCTTATTCATTTCACTTTTGGTGTGAAAAGGCTTTTATATTTGACAAAAATAAAACTTTTTTATTTTAAAAACAAACAAGCAAGCCCTGTCCAGATTTAAAAAGTAATGCAAAGTAACGTAACGCATTACTTTCCATAAAAAGTAACGAAGTACCGTAATTAGTTACTTTTTTATGGAGTAACGCAATATTGTAATGCATTACATTTAAAAGTAACTTTTCCCAACACTGGTCATGTATTTGTTTTAGTTAAATTAATTTCTAAGGCCTCTAAATTATCAAAATGATCAATATTTTGTCATCTGATTGATAGTTTATACTTTTTTTATAGGCATACGGGTTTATACCAATTTATTATAATTCCAGAAGTATTCTTGTGAAGTAAATGTAAGAATAACTTTTGTAATATTTCAAGATGAACACTTACTGTACTGAAGCGACTTAGTTTACTATACTATTTTTATATTACTATATTTGATTCACTGTTTATTGCATAATTGGGTGCTTTGTTATATTGAATTATTTTTTCCTACTAAAAGCAAGTTCAAATTCAGTTTTTGCTTCTGCCTGTTTTTATTTATTTAATTTTTCGTGTTACCTCCCAAAACCCCTAGACGCCAAGCAATTAAGGAGACGTAACAATGATCCATAAAAGCCTGACGCATCAAATACGATACAAAACATAAAACACATATTCAAACTTTTTAAAAGATTTTCACATTTTGTATTAAAGTAAAAAAAAATAAAAATCGATTTCTAGCTACTATACGCCAGGCTTTATTTCACTATCGTAAAGTTTCCGCTAAGAAAAACAGCTCACAAGTAACTTGTCTTCTTTTTTAAGTTCTCCCTGCCTCATTCCGCTCGTTGTGTCACTTACAGGTTTGTTCTTCTTCCTTTGTTTTACTTATATATATTTTTTTATATATTATAAATATTAAGTTGCAGAGAAATGTATTTTCAACAAGGAATATATTGTTGAAATGTTGAGATGTTTTTGTAAGTAAATAGTATGAATCTGTGTAAAGAGGGAGAACAAGAATATAAAGCAATTACAAATATAAAAAAATTCTCTTCATCATTTTATAATGGCAACATGTGAGAGATTTAAGGGCCCAGAAAGGCCTACATTTTTAATGTCTTGGCCATTTATGTTCTGGCGGTGTTTTAGAGGTGGACATCGTCTGTCATATTCAGGCCACGTCTCCATGCCTCCACCCTCATCACATCAGAGAAGCCCTGCAGATGATCACTGAACAGGGTTGTGACTATGTGTTTTCGGTGGTTCGCAGACACCAGTTTCGCTGGGAGGAGGTGGACAAGAAAGGTACCACGAAAACATCTCAAAATGTGTTTATTTTGTTACTTGGTCACTTGATGTTCAATTTCACTTGATGTTTATGACACACAATCTTTCATTTAAAAGCATATTATAAAATCAAAAGTAGGTCACTTCAATATACTTTGATATTATATCTTGAATCTATATGGCTCCCAACCCTGTTGCTATGTAATGTTTAGTAACAGTCATAATATTAACAGAAACTACATTTGAAGGTACACACGTCTTTCACTTCTGTCTTTCATTTTAATTAGACTGTAAGAATCCGACATCTCTGAACATTGACGTGGCGCACAGGCCTCGACGTCAAGATTGGCACGGGGAACTCTACGAAAACGGCTCTTTCTATTTTAGTACGAGAAAGGCTTTGGAAAACGGCCTTAAACAAGTGGGTCATTATCAAAATATGGTGACAAACCTGTCCTCAGATTTCTGAGTTATGAAATATATTTAAAACAGTTACATAAGTTACATATATTTTGTAATAAAATAATAAAATAGTCAGACTGAGTGCCCGAAAAGCCCCTTGTCCCCTTTTATCTGGTACGCCACGTATATGACATTTACAGTTATTTTATTTATTTATTTATTTATTTATTTATTTATAGTTTTCTGGGGCTTAAGCAAACCAACACACAAATTGATCCAAATAATTCAAAATAAATAAATAAATAAATAAAATCTAAATAAATAATGAATAATATAAACCATTTTAAATAAATGCTTGTCCCTTGATTTTTTTATTGTTGCTATCAAAGTTAAAAACATTGAAAATACAAAAAGTTTTGTGAAAATTTCAGAAATTTTACAAATACAAAAAGATGTGGAAATTTCAGAAATGTTGAAAATAAAAAAAAGTCATTAAAAAGTTCTAACAGGGTAAACGTTCAGAGTAAGAAGAGGTACCAAAAAAGATTGCATTTAAATGTTTTTTGTTTTTTTTTCAGTGTTCACATTACAGTGTTTAAAAAGATTGTGAACATTTTTTTTTACATTATAATTGATTGATTTTAGTTTGAACAGTACAAAAAGAAAAAAAGAAAGAAACTGAAGTATTTTGAGATGATCTTAGAAAAATATTTAAAAATATCTGATGTTACAACCATTTCATAATTTGTGAAATAAAGTCCAAAAATCACATGTCAAGATATGCATAAATACACTCTTGAAAATAAAGGTTTGAAGCTAAGCTTTCATGTGATGGCGTAGAAGAACCATTTTTCGTCCCCAAAAACCTTTCAGTGAAAAGTTCCTAAAAGAACTATTTTAAAAGTCTAGAGAACTTTTTTCCACTACCATTTATGGAATGGAAAGATTCCATTGATGTTAAAGTTTCTTCCTGGAACCGTCAATGCCAATAAAGAAGCTTTATTTTTAAGATTTTAAAGGAGAAATTACCTGAACTCAAATTTTAAAGATTGACCCGTGTGTGAAACCTCGTCAGATATTTTGATCTGTTCTCTGTGTGTTTTAGTTGGGCAAGATCGCCTACTATGAAATGCTGCCTGAGTACAGCGTTGATATCGACGTGGACATCGACTGGCCTGTCGCTGAGCAGAGAGTTCTGAGGTGAGCTGTTTAGACAAACTCTGTGGCCAGACAAAAAGCATCAATGAAGATAGAAACGCTACCCTTTTCTGCAGGTTTGGCTACTTTGGCCGAGAGGAGAACGCGGCGGTCAGGCTGTTTCTGTGTAAAGTGTCTGGCTGTTTGACGAACGGACAGATATTCACATCGGTTTCAGGCGAGGACCATGTGGCCATCAATGCTCGAGACGTGGCAGGCATACAGATGCTGCAGAGAGAAAATATAGAGGTACAGTTGTGTGGGCTGGTACAGTTAATATGCTATAATTGCTACACTGTAAAAAAAAAAAAAAGTCATTTTAAAGCTGGCATGAAAGTTGCAATAGTCTTTCGTGATGAGTGAAACGAAAAAATGTAGAGCGGGAGAAGGAGGGTTTATTCTATTTTGATTAAATATGGTTATTTAAGTTATTTTGATTAAAGATTATGAATGCACATGAATTTTAAACAATAATGATGTGCACGGATAAATCATTTATAATAAACACTGCAATGTTAAATATTGCACTTCACATAAAAAAAACAAGGATTGTCAATTTTGGTTTCATAGTGGTGTTAACAGTAAAATAGTATTAAAACTGTAAAAACTGGTTAATTAACGGCATGTCCCTTTACTGTAAATAGTGAACATTTTCAGTAAAATTTTAAGTAATTTTATCATAAAATATTGTCAAATGTACAGACTTTGGAAGTAAAACTGTCAAAATCTTATAATTTACAGTAAAACTAGTGAAAACTGCATGAGACTTTACATTTGTTTGTATTTTGTTTAAAACAATTATGTTTCTTGTTAGTTTTTGTGATCAGTTATGTGCATTTGGGATTTATCTTCTTACATCTTATTTTGTTTAATTAATGTTTACTGCATTGTTTTAGTGTCACCTATTATTATGATGGAGTTTTGTATTTATGTGCATGACACTGTGCACCTTTTGTATATTAGGTTATGTCTTTAGTATATGTTTTAGAATATTTTGATTGTAGAAAAGCTACTTGTTATGAACTTGTGATTCTTTTACCACCTGTATTATTATGGTGGTTATTAGTATATTTTAAAGGGATTTTACCATTACAAAATAAATACAAATATATTATGCATACACACACACACACACAAAAAAACTTGTAATGATGTAGTTATTTTTATTTTTATTGTTTTGTTTTGTTTTTCAATTCAGTACCTCATATTTGGTGAATAGAGCATTCAGAGGATACATGGGCAAAATACACAGCTTGGGGTCCAGAGGTGTCTCTTTACTAATAATTTGACTCAGAAACAATCGACTCTATTCCATAGTATTTGGGAATGTACAAAAGTACCCTTCTCTTCTTTACATTTTTTACATACATCAGGAGTACTGGGATTACATTTTTGTAATTTGACTGGAGTAATGTATTGTCTGTTTAAATGACATGCAATATTAAGAGTATAAGTCTTAAGAAAGTTTTGATTTGATGTTTGCTGACTGTTGTTCTTGTGTGTGTTTAGGTGATCCTCATGTCCTGCGTGAATGAGCCGCTGTCCAGGGGTCTGCTGGAGAAGGTCGCCCAGCTCGCCGGCTGTGGCCTTTGGTTTGGAGAGCAGCTGAATGGGCTCGAGGTGGAGCGGCTGATGAAAGAGAAGAAACTGCGGTGGGATAAAGTGGCCTTCATGGGTGAGAATGTCATGGGAAAAATCCAGCTAAACCCAGTTTAAGCTTGATATGTCTACTGCATTTCAGCTCGTTTCAGGTTTCAGATTTTCACCTTCTCCAAAACATCTTGTACCCTTTCACCTGGTATACCACTTATGACTTTAACAATTATTTGTTATTTTTTCCCCAGGATTAAGCATTAATGCAAAATCCAAATAAATTAATAAAACAAAATAATAAAATAAATAGTGAATAATATAAATACAACTAAAAAAAGACTGGTTGGTCCCTTTAAAAAAAAAAAAAAAAAAACATTGAAAATACCAGAATGGTGGGAATTTGCTAGTAAATTTCACAATTAATTACAAAGAAAGTACTGAATTAAACATTAAATTGTGAAGTAGAAAGACTGAAATAGTATTTTATTGCTAAACATATTCCAGTAATCTTTATTTTATTTTTTACAGTGTATGTCTGCGTTTAAATGTTTGTTTTTTGTTTGTGTTATAATATTTCAATGATTTTGTGAAAGATTTCCATTAGGATTTTTTTTTATGATATAATTTATTGATTTTAGTCTGAACATAGCTCAATATTATGACAACAGCTTAGAAAAAATTAACAATCACTGATTTTACAACCGTTTCTTCATTTGTGAAACAAATTAAAATAAAGAAAAAAGTCAAATGTTAAGATGTTAATAAAATACAGTTTCAAGTTTTTTGACAATAAAAACACGAAACAATCACATGGGTAACTTATTTCCATTGTGCTCACCGATTTTACGACAGCAATTATGGAAAAAGATGACAGAATATGACAATTACAAACTTCATTCAAATATATCAAAATAGAACAAAGCAATATTTAAATTAAAAAACAGTCACTAAAAACAATGCACTAAATCAGCCGTTTTAGGTACTGTACACCTGACATAATTTATGATAATTTATAAATATTTTTTTTGTATTTCTGACCTCCTGAATTTTCAAAAAACCTCTTTACATACATAATAGTTTTAAAAAAATCAATTTTGCTCTGCCTTGTATTAAAAGTATGCTTTTTACCAGTTAATTACAAAAATAAATTAAGACTGTTTTAATAATTAATTAACACTGTCAGGTAAAGCGTCATTCTAGAGCATTGTTTCACACTGGAAAGTCCAAATGAATGTTGTAAACAAACCTGAAACCACTAGCGAGCCTGTAAAATAATCAGAATTTGTTGTGAGCAGCATGTGATATTTTCCCTCACAGGTTCCGAGTCTGAAGACAGAGAGATCTTGTCTCAGGTGGGGCTGAACGGCGTCCCGTGTGACTCAGTCGTGGCGGATCTCATCGCGGCGAAATACACGTGTCAGAGACCTGCCGGAAACGGAGCAGTTCGTGAGTTTGCCGAGTACATACTGATGCTGAAGAAAAAGAGCTTGTTGCAGGTGCTCCAGGAGCACATTGACAGGGCCAATTTCTAGATTCCAGTTCCTATTTCATATTTCTTTTAAACAGTCAGTTTGGGTTGCTGTGATCACATGACATTGAATCTAACTTAAGTTAATAAATCACCTGTGTGTGTCTGTGAGCAAAAGATTCATGTTGCTGCTTTATCTCATTACTTGATCTTTATACAATTGCATGTTCTTTCAAATGCAGTATTCAATACTTATCACCAATCATTATGTATTAATGTTTAATCTCATGCTTTGTCCTCACAAGTCACTGAGTGATAAGGAAACATCCTCATTTCTTATCAGGGACAGCATTGTGCCGCAGTAGTTTTCCATTGCTTTTACTATATAACAGGGGTGTCCACACCTGGTCCTGGAGGGCCGGTGTTCTGCAGAGTTTAGCCAGAGATTGTCTTACTATTGGGAGATGAGAGGGTCTGTATTACTTACTATTGGAGAAAGCTTAATGGTCAACTGGGATAACGTGTGCATTAATAACCAATCACATTACAGCCTTGACATCATTGAATTTCAGTCAGAGTTGTGCGACACTCAATCGCTGTTTACGGATACCATAGATATGAATGAGAAGTGCCGTAAGCTGTAACCCACCTGTCGCAAAAAGTCAGTGACTTCTCTTATAAAACGGCATTTTTTTGGTGTAAACTCTAAAAATAGTTCAATCCAAAAGTATTGCTTAGTGTAAAACATGTTGGAGATTAGCTCATAGGCTGTCGATTCATTAAATGATAAGCTGTTTATTCAGCGTAGTGAAGCCTCTCCTCCATTGACATCCATTAAAAAAAACGGCCTCTGGTCTCCTTTCCCACATACTGGCAAAATGGAAGCGTTAGCATTAGCCGTTACGTTTTTTTGGCTAAAGGTTGCAGGCTTGCCTTTTAGTGGCTTTGGTTTAGCTCCAACTTGGCTCAACACACCTGCCTGGAAGTGTATATGCCTAGTAAAACCTTGATTAGCTGGTTCAGGTGTGTTTAATTGGGGTTGGAACGAAAATCTGCAGGACACCGGCCAAAATCACATTTGTTTTTCTACAGAAACATTGTCCAACAATGACACCAGCAGGTAAAGTCCTTGTCTCTCTCGCCTCCCTTGAGCCCATTGAGTTTTAACACACCCACTAAAGCAGGGGTGTCAAACTCAGTTCCTGGAGGGCCGGAGCCCTTCAGAATTTAGTTACAACACACATGTAGTTTTCAAATAAGCCTGAAGGACTTGATTAGTTAGATAAGGTGCGTTTAATTAGGTTTGAATCTAAACTCTGCAGGGCTCCGGCCCTCTAGGAACTGACTTTGACACCCCTGCTCTAAAGCCCGGGATACACTGCACGATTTTTGGCTGTCCCAGACGAAAGATTGCCATCATGAAGCAATCGTGGCGATTTGCAACATGAAATGACGTATTGATCCACGCGACCAGCGGCGCTACAAATTCAATGCCATGGAGGCAAAAAAAAGTAGACGGTATACTGGTATGTGGGATACCCATAAAGAACAAATTCTTGTTGAGTTGTGGCAGCAGAGGGCATGTTTGTACGATGTGTCCTCTAGCTGCTATCATGACCGCACCAAAAAGGACATAGCATGGAAGGAGATAGCGGAGGAACTGCAGCTGCCAAGCTCCCTGTGCAAAACTGGCATCCCAAGTTGTCCTCTTTTCCCGAGCCATGAGCGGGTCCATATTGCCTTCTTCCACCGGCGCCTCTTCTTTGTTTCAGCGCACATGAAAAGCACAACTGCCAAAGCACGATCCATCTTGATGTACCGGTTTGTTTACCACTAGCGCATGCTGATGACATTGCGCTAACGTGTGTCGCAGCCGTTGCAGCCTACGATTCAATAGGTGTCATCATCGTACAGTCTACATGCTTGTCGTACCCAAGTTTAAACGATCCATGTTGCACAGTGTGATAAAGTAATGATCTTATAGGATTGCTAAAATCGTGCAGTATATCCCGGGCTTTAAGCATGTGGTGAGTTTGGTGGGGGGTAATTGAGAATGAATGGGGAAAAGTCACGTGAGAGGAGGCAATGCCTCCATCACGATATGATTGGATATGACTGGTTATGTTCGGCTGTGATTGGTTCATGTGATAAATCCCACCTCTTGTGTTATATTTAACCAAGAAAATGTGACTGGGACATGAATTTACATGAATTGTGAAATTGATAGTTTCAGCAATGATGCATTGATCATTTCGCCTATAATGTAAAAAAAATATATCTATTACAAATAAACTGTGTTCTTCAAACTGTTCTTCTGATCTTCCTATAACTGTGGTAATCAAAAATGTTATATTTATTTTATTTTCAGAAAATCATTGCTTCAGAGATATTAAAGACACCTTATGGGTTTAAACTCACTTTTTTTGTAATTCTGGAATGGTGACAGCAATAGTTCTTGAAGGGATAGTTCACCCAAAAATGAAAATTTTGTCATTGTATACGTTACTCTCGATAATGGCAGTAGATGGTAACTCGGGGGAGAAGAATTGTTGAATAAAGTTGTTTTTTTTTTTTTCTTATATTTATTATTTAGTGTTCCTGTGGCTCAGTGGTAGAGCATTGCGTTAGTCAAGTCAAGTCAAGTCACCTTTATTTATATAGCGCTTTTAACAATACAGATTGTGTCAAAGCAACTGAACAGCATTACGCTTTGGATAAAAGCGTCTGCTAAATGTATAAATTATTATTAATTATTATTATTATAAAAAGTACATATCTCATATTTGTTAATTATTGTGTTTATTGTTTATTGAGATATCTTGTGAGTTGTCAGATGTTGATTTAGTAACTGCTTTTGTTAGAATTTGCTCATTAATTTGACTGTATATTTGCTCAAAAACAATGCAATAATTTGATTGTATTACTGAAATTTTTACATACAGTATCTCACAGAAGTGAGTACACCCCTCACATTTTTGTAAAACTTGCATTCGGGGGCGGAGTTGAAAACGGAGCTGTTAAGCCGGACACTTTCTGCTCCCGTTAGTGACGCTCGCACGGTGTTTGCATACTCTATCACAGATGAAGTGATTTAAATGCAATATTTGTCAAATACACAGAAGTTTCAGAAACGTTTTCATGAGCAACAGATATATACTGATTATATACTGCTTAATACATCGCCATCTGTTCAAGAATAAAGTTCAACGTAAATATATACTATTTAAATACTAATAAAGTGGGGGTATATATCATCAGTGTTTATGATAAACGTGACTCAATATAACATTGCGACTACAGTAAAAAAGCTTTTACTGTTCTAAAAACACAGATTTATGAGCAGTATTGGATTTGAAGATGTTAGAAACACACGTCATTGTTGTCATGTGGTGAATTTGGCCAATCGTGAAATGGCTGTGTCGTCATCAGCACTCCTGCAGTCGCTCTGAAAAAGCTGCACCAGCTGAGTCAGCCGGATGCTCTTGAAACGCTATCGCGGTACTTTGATGCCACACGTGACAGTGATGTGGCGTCGGCACTGGTTCAAGTCGGACTACATTTCTAACCGGCATGCACTGCTTTGCTGCATGAAGTCGAACGCACCTCTTGTAACACTAATGAGCCACATGACAGCGGGGAGAGAAAATGGCTAATTGGGCCCAATTTGGACATTTTCACTTAGTGGTGTACTCACTTTTGTGGCCAGCGGTTTAGACATTAATGGCTGTGTGTTGAGTTATTTTGAGGGGACAGCAACAATGTAAAATAGTGAGTGTACAGCTTGTATAACAAAGTGTCATTTCTTCAGTGTTGTCACATGAAAAGATATACAAAAATATACATATACATGTAAAATATTTACAAAAATGTGAGGGGTGTACTCACTTCTGTGAGATACTGTATATTACATAGTTGTTGTCATGATATCAAAAGACCACAGTAGAGGTTTCATTGTGTTGTCCTTGGCTAAAGAGTCGTAACTGTTTAGCTTTTTATCAGCTTCGAAATCTGTGGATGAAGAAACCGTAACAAAGACACATTGACAAACCATGTGTTGGCAATTGTCAGGCCCTGTAGAGCACAATCATCAGATTGTCCTAAATGAAAGTGAAAGCTCTCATTTTCTGGAAGGGATCAAATTTGACATCAAGACAGTGCTGATAGAGATAATCAGTTGAGCGCAGTCAAATCGCAAGAAAACCAGACTTGCTGTTAAACATGTGCAAGCAAACACCTTTCAGGTTCGTGACTAGTCTCATATATTTCCCTGTAGAAAATATCAAAGAGTTATGCATACAATATGTATGATCTTGAGCAAATGAAGTGAAAATTCAGCTGATGTCACTGAAGCATTTTGAGAAAACCAGGGGCTGTGTTAAAGAAATTCAAGTTGTACAAGATTATGATATGCATTATTTGAATGTTGGCCAAAGAGATGTGTCTTTAATCTAGATTTAAACAGAGAGAGTGTGTCTGAACCCCGAACGTTAT